GAGAGAGGGGGTGTGTGTGTGTGTGTGTGAGAGAGAGGGTGTGTGTGTGTGTGTGTTGTAGGTGTGGTTGATCGTGTGGGTCAGGAAAAGCACCACACTCCACTGCACACACACTCATCTGCTCTCTCTCGCAGTCTCTCTCTCTCTGCTGCTGTGTCTCTGTGGTGAAGCGCGAGAGCTGCAGTTGTTTCTGGTTGTAACGCTGATGGCTTTAGTATTCCAGTGTGTTTCACTGAGGGATTACGTGTGCTTATCTGAACATGCTCTCTGTGTTGTCACGAGGGGTTTTAGGGTAAAATAAGTCAATATATCTAAGAGACAAATGGCCCATTAACACATTATCAGCTCGTGGAGCCTGACTTATCTGGCCTTGAGCGGCTGTGTTTCTGATGCACACGAGCGCCGCTGCATGTGGCTTTCACTGCTTATCTGCAGCGCAGAGCAGAACTACAGCCACTGATGCTGCTTCAGCTGCTCTGAGATCAATCAGCAGCTAACAACAGCACTGCGGCGCTCGCATGAACAGACAGACCTCATGCACACATACGCACAGCTGATTCGTTTGGTCCTGGTGACACTCACACTCACACAGTACTACCTGCCTGATTGATTACATCATCACAAAATCATCACAGCTCTGATCTGATAAATGCGACTATAAGTAGTATATTAATATATTATAAACATTAACATCATGATTTTCTGTAAAGCTGCTTCATGACAGTGTGTGAAAACCACTTTACAAATACATTTGTCATGTGAGCAGTAAAGCCACACAAACGGGATGTTTCATGCGTCTGACGTGCGATTGCTCTTTCGCAGCATTAGTGTAAGTTCATGGAGCGACAGCTGGTTTTTCTTTCCATAAATCTCATGAATCTGTGTGCTCGGGTCAAGCGACTGGGGAAAATGCTCGACGTATAATCGCTTCCCACATATTACATCATCTTCCTGATGGTTTATATATAAATGTATAACGCTCACCTGACATTTGTCTGCAGGCGAATCCTGAGGCTGTCAAAATGAGCATAAATGATACGCTGACATGAGTTACTAATGTGATGCTCTTCATCTGAAACCACTTTAAACAGCACTCTGATATTCTTATATGTACAGTGGGTACGGAAAGTATTCAGACCCCCTTAAATTTTTCACTCTTTGTTATATTGCAGCCATTTGCTAAAATCATTTAAGTTAATTTTCATTATACAAGCAGCTGTAGTGAGCTTATGGATATAGATTAAAGGAGAGACTACATGTCACGATCTGCCTAATGTTTTGGAGCGAGGAGACGTGGGAGAATTAACGGAGAGTCTTTAATGAACCAAAACAGGTGGTGTTTCATTGGTGCTGTAATTTGGCTGAATGTAATGTGTTTGGCAGTATTGTTCTGGTCCGGATCAGTGTGATGGGGGTGAGTGGATGTTAGTGGAACATCAGGACTGAAGCTCTCTCTCTCTCGCTCTCTCGCTCTCTCTCTCTCTCTCTCTCTCTCTCTCTCTCTCGCGGGTCTGTCTCACAGGTGGCTGTCAGCTGGATCTCTCTCTTGCCGTAATGATTTATTTATCCTGATAATGCTGGAGTCCAGGCCAGAAACGAGCGCTGAAAACACTGACTTCATGCCAGAGCGTTATCAGACACTGACACACACTTACACACACACACACACTCACACACACTCACACACACACACACACACACACACTCACACACACAGACATCCTTTATTTCTAAAAGTGTAGAGAAGAGGAAGAAGAGTTTGACACGCTGATGAAGGTCCAAACCCAGACGAGACTGACGTCAGCTCCACAGCATTAACGGCCAAAGCTCTCAGAGCACGACAGCAGACATAAAAATGTGTTGCGCTGTACGGGAGAACGAAAGAAACGAGCGTCTCGTGAAGTGAGCGATGCTGCGATCATGACGACGAGCGCTCTGGGAAACGCTTCTTCAGGCGCAGCTGATTCATGAAGTCACTGAATCCCAGCAGACTCCTCTTCATTTGAAGCGGTCAGACGTGTTGGACTGTTCGGAGCACAGATTTCAGTAGAAGCTGCTTTGTGTTTTGTTGTGAAGAGAAATCATTTCGGCTTAGTATAGTTAGGATAGTCGTTGAATAAAAATATAATTTGACAGATAAAGTCGTCTGCTTCGCTGCCAAGCGTCTGCCTTTATCAGCACAGGTTTTAATTAGACACGTTCAGTCAGAAAGGCCAAAAACATCATTATTATTCAACAAATAAGTGATTCTGACAAATCATTTTAAAAAGCGAAGTGATGCAGTAAACACATGTGCGAGTGTGTGTTGGTTTGTTAATCGTTACAGAGCCTGCAGGATGATAGAAATACACTCCCAATCAGAGCATGTTATATAAGTATATATATATATATATAAGTAATTTTATTTCAGCTAGTTTCATTAACTTGATGTACTAAACTAACACTAAAATAAAAATGAATACAAAGTATATAGACATATTTAAAAACAACAAAAACTGATCAAAATGACAAACAAAAATGACTAAAACTTTAGAATTAACATGGAAAATATAAAAAATTAAAATATAGAAAATATATTAAAGAAATAACTCAAATCGAATTCAAAAACGCAAAAAGAACGCTGCTTTTCTTAGTCTTTCGTCCACGTTAGTGAGCTCAAAGCGTGCTCTTGTCAGTATCTTGTAGAGTGTGTTTGATTCGCGTCTCCTGGTGATTCAGTGGTGAAGCGGGGTGTTCTGTGTTCAGCTGCGCTCCAAAGAAGCGTTCCCTCGCACCCGGAGCCGCACAACCACAACGACTCCTTAATCCAGTGTCTCTGTCTCTCTCTCCCGTCTCTCTGCTCCTCCCGGGACATCTCTCTCTGTCTCTGTCTCTGTCTCTGTCTCTGTCTCTCCGCCCGCAGGTCACCATCTCGGTGGACGGTATTCTGACCACCACCGGATACACGCAGGAGGACTACACCATGCTGGGCTCCGATGACTTCTTCTACATCGGAGGAAGCCCGAACACGGCCGACCTGCCCGGATCTCCCGTCAGCAACAACTTCATGGGCTGCCTGAAAGACGTGAGTCGACTGATCATCAGGAACGCCCTGATTAACCCCTGAGCTGCTCTGGTGATCTGATCTGGTGTTTCTAAACACCACCAAGTGCTTGTAAACCTCTCATTATCAGGACATCTTGGGTATGATCTTTTCTCAGCTGGTTTCCTTTCAGTTAGCACAGATCTGAGCTCATGCACCTCAGTTTTTGAGCGATAAAGACATTATTTGTGGATAATTTTGCCAGAGTTCACTCAAAGAGTGAGGCACAGATCAATGAGGCCTACGATCAATCAGCTCCAAAGGAAACACGACAGATGTGCTAACAGAAAGAGAACAGGTTGACAAAAAGATTCAGTACAATCAGAGATTCAATTTTTAGTAGTTCTTGTAATTTATTGAATAGGAACACCACAAGTGTAACAAGCTGGGAAAAATCCCAAAAGAGTACCGAAATGACCAAAACATGTTTTTGGGAAGTTTTTTTAAAGTCAGTAAGTTTTAGTCCCATGTGAAAATATTAAGTAGCAAAAGAAAATCCTCCGGGTCACAATGAATGAGACGCAATTTGAGGGTCAAAGGTGAAGTAGGTCATTTCTGTTCGTGTGAGCAGATGAAACGACATGTGCTCAGCCAATGGTGTGAGTTTGGGGGCGGGGCTAACTGTTTGAGTGACGGCAGGTGGGCGGAGTGTTTGAAGTCTGTAATGCTGTCATCACTGTAGTAATAATAATAATAACAATTAAATTAAAACGAGCTAACGCAATTGCTGAACATTTTGTCACTCCTTCATCTTATTGTGCTTTATCCACTAAAATGCAAAATCATGTAAAATTCACAAAAATCCATTAGTGCTGAGACTAACGTTGCATTGACTGAAACTGGGCAGTGGGTTTCTAGTTCCCAGCAGCAGCTCTGCATATAACATCGAATTCATTTTGAAACTTTGAAACTAAGTGTCATTTTGTGTGTTTTTCTGGAGCGAAGAGAGAGACCTGCAGTTATGTTTGACATTTAAAAGAGTTTGTGGTTCCCATTGTGCTGAAGAGTCTCTACATGAATGAATTCTACACAGTTATTAATATTGCTCACTGTTTTAACATTAGTTTTGTAATGTACTGACAACTGTTAGCCTCGTTTCTTTTAGCGTGTTCATTTTTGATAGTCTTTGCTGGAAACATGCCATGAAATGTGCCTAAACAAACTGAGAGCACATTATTAGTAACGTGGGCAAGACACAAGAGTACTCCAGTAAACGGGCGTGGGCGATCTCCGGCGAACAATGTCCAAACAGGGTAATCCGAAACACAAGCGATAGTCCAGGCGAGAGGTAAACAGTATCTGAACAGGGCGAGACGAAAGGGGTAATCCAAGACAGGCGAAATCGTTCAGGCCAGGCAGAGAACAGGCGAAACTAGAGAACAGGCTAGAGTACAAACACGGGAGAACAGACTATGAAGGCTAAACTCTCCGTAAATGACTAAACGGAAGTCCATAGACTGGATTCGTGACAATGATGATGATGATGATGATGATGATGCCAAAAAAACAAAGTTTATCGAGCTTGAAAACGTGATGACTGTATCACTCTAAAATAATCTCAGTGCTGCACGGTTCATGCCAATTATAATGTGCATTAGCAAACACAGCGTGCACTTCATTTACACATTCATCATTCACTTCATTTACAACTTCATGGTGGATGATCAGTAACGAGAAGCATTGTCAACTAAACTGTCTTTTCTAATAAATAAATAAATAAATAAATAATAAATTAATCAAAATAAAACACAAAAGCATGGAATATTTAGTTTTCCTGCACGTCATCCTGAACCGTAATCATAATTTATTTTCACTTATGCATTCGGCAGACACTTTTATCCAAAGCGACATCGTATTCAGTTTTTGTATCAGTTCAAGCATTCCCTGGGAATCGAACCCAAGCCGCACTTTAGTGTTTGAGCTACAGAAACACTGTAAACAATACTGTTCGGCTGCTTTAGAAGATTCACTCCTGCACTTATTGCTCCTAAAACGAGACACCGTGAAGCCCCTTCGACGCTGAGCTCTGCTGCCAAAAGCTGCTCCATTTGCTGTGATGGGCTAATTGAGTGTAAGACTAGAGGAGGTGGGTGTGTGTCCTGTGGGGAAGAAAGTCCAGCAGTTCTGTAATTGCAGTTTAATAGACAATTAAGAGTAAGTCATAAATCTCGGCGATCTACCGAGAGAGCAGCGCTCACGCTGAAACACTCACTCGTGCGAACACACATGGCTCATGCACGCTTCTCCTCCTTCTTCTTCTGGCCAGGCTCCATCTCCGTCAACAGCCGCTCCATTCCCTTCAGCTCTAACGAGGGCAGTGAGATCCTGGACCTGGACAGTGACATGTATCTGGGTGGTTTGCCGGAGAGCGGTCAGGGCCTGATCCTGCCGCCCGAGGTGTGGACCGCGCTGCTCAACTACGGCTACGTGGGCTGCGTCCGCGACCTCTTCATCGACGGCAAGAGTCGAGACGTGCGGCGTCTGGCGGAGATCCAGAGCGTGCCGGGCGTCAGCAGCTTCTGCACGCGCGAGCTCCAGAAGAGGTGCAGCAGCGCCCCCTGCGCCAACGGAGGACAGTGCAAGGAGGGCTGGAACCGCTACATCTGCGACTGCACCGGCATCGGATTCCTGGGAGGCAACTGTGAGATCGGTGGGTAAAACTAATGACAAATACCACAAAACACAGGTGTTAATGACATAAACAGTGCGGAATGATTTCCTGCTAGTCCTAACAGCAGTGTCAAGGCACAGAAATTGAATAAAGTCATAAGAAGTAAAATACCACTGCGCTGTATATATTAAATATAGATTTTTTTTCTTCACCCCAAAAATAAAAAAAGATCCTCACACTCAGGTCATCCAAGATCAGGATGAGTGTGTGTCTTCATCAG